TTTTTAGCTGATATTCAATAAAAATTCAATGATAAATGTAAGAAAATATCCACTTTCAAACTTAGTTATCGTTGGACATGTACGTGGACACTTCTGTTCGTAGAAACTTATTAAACAGTATTGAGTAATATAAGAGCATCGAAGAAGCATAAATTGTAAACTGTTTAGTGATTGATGTTTATTTTTTACAAAAATAAAGTTACACAAGGAAACGATATAATATATAATGTATATATTTATGTAAAGTACGACGAAAATAACACGTGAAATTTGCAAAGTAGAAACAAGAGTTCTGCTGCCCCTTGTATTTATAAAAATGATTAAAACGATATTTAACGAAGTTATAATACAGCATAAAAATGGAAGAGCATTATTACAAGAAAGGTACATTTAAATATATAATGCTTTTTCTTTGCATCAAGTTTTCGAACTGTTTATGCTGGAGAGGTTAAGTAGCATAAGAAATATATCTTTACTATATTTTATTCATTTAAGGAACTATTGTAAATATTTTACCGTTTTCTTTTAAAATATTATGAAATTACGATAAAGAAATTAACATTTCTTTTAGATGTGCTTTTCCTCAAATATCTCACACATCAAAATATTTTATCTCTACAAGAAAAAATAAAGAATACACAAAAGAATTAGACAAAGAGGATGATGATCCAGATAAATTTGACAGGCCTATAAAATTCTCAACATCTAAAGCTGCAACATATCCTGCTGGATATTCACATGAATTTCATGGACCAAAGTATCAAGGAGTTATTGTATCACTAAGCATACTGATCTTTTTGCTATACTTTGGTGTTTTGAGAGAAGAAAATGATATTGATGAAAAAATGGTTGAAAATATACCAACAGAAATTCTAGAACAAATATATGGAAAACAAGGGGTAAAACAAAAATCAAAATTAAATTAAAATTCTATATGATTTCATGTAGCTTTAATTTTATAATTAAATAGCTTACATAGAAAAAAACTTCTCTTTAGTAGTAGAGAGGTGTAAATAAATATTTACAATGGATATAATAATTCTCCCCATATTATGTTACTTATTATCTTATTCCATTCAATGGATGGATGACGAATAATTGTATCTGGTATACATCTATCCCATGTTTGGTGCCATGATGCTACAACCAATGTCATTACTAATACTACTGGTCCCTCTGTTCTATGTGAATATACTTTAATATTAACAGTACCTAAAACAAATAAACTGTATAGTTTATGAATAATACTCTGAAGAGTTGATGATCAAATATTTTACTTACTACATGTACTGTAAGAATGGAACAACCACTTAAAAAATGTATAAACAGGCATAACTTGAAGATAAAATTTCATTCTTGTCAAAAATCCTCCAAAACCAATTAATGCTAACCTGAGCTGTGAAATAAAATTATTAATTTCTGAATCACAATCAAAATTTAAATATATTGTTTTTCATATACCATGGTAAAAACTGCATAATAAACCCAAGTTGTTGGCATGAGGAATAGCAAAATAGTAAATAATAAAGTTCCTACAAATAACTGATCAGGTTGATATTGGCAAGAATCAACTCTTTCTCTTAGTGGATTCTGTTTTTTACCCAAAAATAGTCGAAATAAACCAGTAATACCTGTTAGTTGAAGGTTGAAAAGCCTAGCAAGAAACAGAGTTAATATTTTGATTACATTTTGTAATATGTATAATTTATATTTTTAATACCTTGCTGCATGTACGTAAATACAATAAGCATGAAAACTGACTAATGCTAAAAGATCAGCTGCTATAGCTATTTGAAAAGTAACACCAAGTTTTCCAAATAATACTAGTACTTCAACTGCAAAATCCATTATAGGTTTTATAAATATTAGAAATGTCCACCACATATGTATATGGTACAGAAAAAATTTTCCAAGTATATTGTTCAAGGCATGATTTAATTTTAAACCAGCTGGTACACCCATTAACCAGTTTATTAAGTCTTTTAAAAATGTTACTACTTTCTGTAAAATATAATTAAAATATTAAGTTGAACTTAAACAGTGCATTATTTTTTCATCTGAATTTTTAACTTGCCTCTGCATTATTCAAAAGTATTTGGGATGGAGATGTGTACTCAAAGAAATGCAACAATAATTGTAGCATACATATTCCTAATAACATATCCACTATTAATGCAAAAGCATAGTTTCCAGTTTTTAATGTAAACCTTTTGTTTTTTATTACAGTGATTAACATCCATTTAATATTTTCCAACCATCCATTAACGTGTAAACCAAGAAAGGAATATTTTAGAATTGGTAATAATTTGTTTGTTATTTTAGTAAGAAGAAGAACTGGGTAAAAGTATAAAAACATGTGATAGATTAACAGAGTTTCCTTGATGTAAGTCCATCGTCCCTTTTTTTGTATTTGTTTTTCAACTTGTTTGTTCTGTATGAATTTCATTAATTCGTAAAAGTGATCCCCTGATACTGTTTTCTGATTAAGCAATTCTGTTTCTTTAAGAGCTAATTGATCATATACTATAATGACTGTGTGACAGTGTGAGGTAGAAATTTTTTTATTATTTACAATAATGCTTTTTAGATTGTAATCATAAATGTTGTTTCTGAAGGAAAATGTAGGGTGTAAGCTTATACTAATCCAGTCTAAATATTTTTTATCTATATAACTGCGTTTGTGTTCCATACTACAATAATATCCAATTATACTGGCATATTTCATTGTTTCTAATCTATCTATCTTATATACACCGATGACATAAAATTTTTTAACCCCTGTATTATCATCATATACTGTTTTACCAAACAAGTAGCCAGGCTGTTCTTTGTAAAGTCCATTTGGTAAAAAAATTAGTAGACTTTTCATTATGGGTACTTAAAATAAACCATGAATCAATTTGATAGTATTGAAATATGATCACATTATAGCAAAAACATGTATTCGTACGACCAAATGCACGTGTGCACTACTCATTATTTGCGCATATATTTTCAGTGGTGCTCAATATTAGTTTCCTGTTAACATTGCAATCGATAATACAATAAAAATAATGCATAATTTTTCATTGAAAACTACAATTTGACAATGATAAACATTTCTAATTTTCACAATAATTCCATTTTCAAATATATTTAATTTTGAATAGATTTCCTGTAATATATATTGCGTTGTACAGATATCAAATGGTACCGTGAAACAACTCTTGTTTTCCACGGTTTAAGCAAAGTAAATCAATGTTACTCTTTCACGTCGTGTATACGATATGTTGACAAGCAGTCAGCTGTTTCCGGTCTATAAAAATACAGATGGCTCAATAGAGATCCTCGAAAAACCCGGCTAATTATTTCTAATTAAATAAGCAGCAGTTGGACTGGCAGCACCGGAGTAAACAACGAGTGTGTGATGAGGCTCTAACACACGGTATTTTCTACCCTTAATTTCCTTTTAGTTTAACGGATAATGTTGAAGGAAGAGGTTGAAGTAAGCACGCCGAGAAATGGTGATAACTCGCACACGATTACACCGGACTCAGGAAGTAACGACGTGGCCAAAGAGTCGCAACAGAAACTCGAGATAGAAGAGAAATTGGCCAACAAGATGTTTTCGTACGCTAGAAAAATCATTCGATTTTTCCTTGCAATCATCTTTACTGCTCTAGCAGCCCTTCATAGTTCGTAAGTTTCAGGTTATGTCAATTTTTCTTTAATTAAAAATCCATTAAGATACAACGTTTTTTTACTATAACGACGTGTCATATTTTGACACTTTGCAACAGATATTTCATCACTTGAAAGTGTAGTAAAACACAAGTATTTTTTCAGTATAAATAAAAACCATTTTTATTTTTGTTACATGGTATTTTATATAATTTTTGAATATATTATACCTTCTAGTTATTCATTATTTTCATTATAGATCACCTAAAGTGTCAAAACCACCATTAGCTAAACCATTTTTCAATCAAAGCTCAATCGTCTTAGATTTTTATAAAGGACATTTGGATGCTATGATGGAAAGAGTTATAGAAGCAGATTTTAGTTTTATTATGTATTATGCTCCATGGGATGCAGAAAGTCAAGCAGTGCGTCAAGAATTTGAAAAAGTTGCTCAATATTATCATTCACAGGTATCAGAGATATTTATACAATTAAAGTAGACATTATTTTTGTCATACAGTGAGACTAAGATGTCTTTGTGCCTTTTAGGTTTTTTTTGCTGCCATCAATTGTTGGCATCCAAGCTCAGAATGTAGAATTCAATTTAATAAAATACAAAGTTATCCAATATTAATTCTTTATCCTTCAACGGATTCTGGCATTGAATACAGGGGTATACATACATGGCCATACATGATAAGATTTCTTAATGCAGTTATGAATCCAATTATTAGAATAACACATAAAGATCAATTAACAGACTTGCTTGTGAACTATGATGTAAGTATGAATAAATAATTTATATTCTTGGATAGATTATTATTTGTGAAAAAGAAAATTATTTGTTATTGTTGTTGTAGGCTGTGGTTATAGGTTATTTTAATTTCACCCGGTTAGATAAAACTCCTGGTTACAAAGAGTTTTATAAGGCTTCTATAAGAGCATTAGAAGAGGATCCCAATAGGGAAGTGGTTTTTGCCATTGTCACTAGTGCATTATCTAGTGAAACAGACTATAATATTTATAAACTTCCATCTGCAAATTTACACATGTGGAGTGAATCTTTAGTAAGTACATGAAAAAAGGTTTTTGTATTTGTGCAGTGGTAAATACATTGGATACATAAAGCAGAAACATTTGCATATATAGCACGATTAAATGAGTTTGAGAATTCAAATGTGTAGAGGTATCCAGAAGACTCTGAATGGACTTCCGAAAACATATTAAATTGGGTTAGCAGCTCCATTCATCAACCAGTTCTATGGCTGCAGCCTCCTGGAGTGAAAGCATTAACATTAGCACCATATTTGAAGGAAGGGCCTGTACTTTTTCTCTTCACACCGCGTAATCCTTTGCATCCCGAAAATTACAATTACAATCTGGTGCGTAGTATTGTAAACACAATCGCGGTAACCAAAGGATGTGTAATAAGAATTACATTGATCCTTTAGATCAGAGAAGTTGGACTGCAGTATTATAATTGTGCAGATAATGTTTTACCTAAAGAAATAGTTGAACGTCTCAGCTTTAAGCGTCGTACAGCTATTGCGAAGCATTCAGAACAAAATAAGTTGTGTACAAAAATCTTAAAAGAGAATAAAAATCAAACTCAAGAATCGAAAGTCAGTGTCTCGATTCAGAGGTGGATTAATAATAGTTGCTGTGCTAATGTTGTAATGAATAAATGTTCTCTGTGTAAGAAGAACATATTAAACAATGCAAAAAGAGAAACGTCCATTTGTAAGCTTAGCTCTAATAAAATTGATCACGTCTGCAAAAGTGCAGATATTTTTAAAATTTCTAATATGGAAAATCAGCAAGAGAAATATGAAGTCTGCTGTAATCAAGATAAATATCAAAATGGATTTAAGTCTATAAGGTACAAAAATCTTTCCTTTTAAATGAATTTTCTTAGCTAATGCTTTCTCCTCTTTTAGCCAAAAGTACAAAACACCGTTATTTACTGCAAACTACGAAGACACGCAATCTGCAGATGCAATAAAACAGGCACACTTAAGATCAGACTGTAAAAGATGGATAACTGGAAACAGATATCATCTGCCTATATTTCCTCGAGATAATATTGAACATCCGAATATAAATTTAACCGAGTCGGTGTGCAAAATTAATAAAACATTAACACTAATAGCAATCGATAGTTTGCATTACTTCTACTTCGCGGAAGGTCTTGGTATAGATCTTTTAAAGAAGAAAGATAAGACTGCTGTTGTTATATTAAATGTTGCTGTAAGTTTAAGTATATGCTCAATTTATATTATTAAATATACTAATGTATAATTATTTCCTTTAGCACGAGAGTCAATACGTTATGCAGGAAGATTTTAATCGATATACACTTATACAATTTATAAATAATTATACACAAGGTTTTTTACAACGTACGTTACGTTCTAATAATTCGAGGCGTTTTGTGCAAAAGTTTAAGAATAAAATTAATTGTAAAACGAAAAATGTACAAAGCGTATGCATACCAGAGTTAACAACTGAAACATTCTTAGATACTATATTGGATCCAACGAAGGTAAATTAGAAGAAATATGAACATGTTATACAGCCATAAAATAATACTATAGTTAAGAGATATATTAAATTTAATGATGTTTTTCAGGATGTGGTAGTAATGTACCACTCTCCTTATTGTGCATTTTGTAGCGCGATATTTTATGTATACTTAACAGTAGCTCATTATTTGCGCGAAATGGATCATCTTTTATTCGTAAGAGTAGACGGTGATAACAATGATTTACCGTGGGAATACAATATGAATCGATTCCCATCTATTCTCTTTTTCCCTGCCAAAAGGTAATTAAAATTGAATCGTTTGTAATCATATTCTATAACAATCTTCTTATCTTTCACATTTCAGAAAAGAGGATAGCACGGTGTATCCGTTTTTTCTGCCAGTCACAATACCGAATCTTGTTAATTTCATCTTGGCGAATTTGGATGGAGATTCACATGTTGAGGCGCTTGTAAATATTTGTCAATCTGGAGCTGGTGAAGATCCAGATGCGTGTATTGCTCGAACTCGTTGGCTGTGTCTAGATATCATTCAACAACTACTTCGAGATTATCGAAAAATATTAAGGCATATTAGTCGACTAGGAAGGATAAGTGCCAGGAATAAAAGAAAAATCATTTTATTAAAGTTGGCACACATCAAGGACATACATTTAATATTAGGTTCCACTATTGATCTCAGAGAGGATCAACACAAAGTAAAACTTATCAGAAAAAAATATAGGAAATATTATAAGAGTATTAGATCACTCGAGTTAGGTAACAAAATAAATAGCACTAAAATGAACGATCCTCTTCAAGAACAAAATGTTACTAAAAAAAAAATGATTAAAAGCGAATTGTGATATCAATTTAATGATAGATATATTATGATGAATGTTATTTTACTTAAATTCTTTTATGACCGTGTACTAAATGTACACTATATACCTCACAGATCTTATTTTGCAAACGTAAAATGTGACCAGTTAAATTATGTGTATCTTGATTTATTTGTTATTTCTGCACTACTTTTG